GAAGAAGATATGAGAAAGCAATATCCCTACCTCTTTGTTTAGTGAAAATTCGAGGAAGCATTTTCTTAAGGGGGAGAATTGTAATATCCCAATCATCGGGTCAGTGGCTAAAATGTAAGAATTTTAAACTCAATGGCTGAATTAGAATAATTTGATAAATTCTAGGATTTATGGTGGAATTTATGTGTAGGGCTTGATGGAAATTTTGGTTTAGTAGAGAGGGCAATGTGGTATTTTCTTGTTAAAAGATAATTATCTCCTTTATTTAGGGGATAAATATGTGGATGGGAGTTCTGGAAGTCTTTCTTTCTTTCTTATTCTTCTTGCCGTGCACCTATCCACTCCCAAATGTATGATTCTGAAAATGGTTGTTTTCCTTAAATTATGGGGTTAGTTTTGTAGCTTAACAGCTATATAAGCTTAAGGAAAGCTTGTATAGTAGTAAAACAACAAGAGAAGTAAATTAGAGATGAAAATGTAAAATGGGTTTAGAAATGAAATTTTGATATGGAGTAGCTTTTGAAGTGCTAATGAGATATTTGACTTGTAAATGATCTAACTTAAGAGTTTGGATTGTTAGAAATGATTAAGAACATGTTTGAAATTTTGGTATGATTTTGATATTCAAGTGTTCAAACGGTATTTTGGATAATTAGGAGTAGTAAAGGAAGTCAAGTTAGTGTGGATGTATAAGAGTGAGTTTAAAGGCTTAATGTGGGATAAAAATAAGAGATTTAGGAAGATTTTGGGTGATTTTTGAAGTGAAAATAGCCATTCTAGGCTTTGAGTATTAGTACCGTTAGAACAGTACCGATACTTCAAGGGTTAAATCTGTGTATTTCTTAAGGGTAGTATCGATACCAGTTGAAGAGGGTATCAATACTGAGTTGGTAGTATCGATACCAGGGGGATGATATCGATACCATTTTTAAGATGCAATTCCAGAATGCCAGAACGGTATCGGTACCTTGAGGAGGTATCGATACCTTTGAAGGGTAGTATCGGTACTGTAGAGACAATATCGATACTTCTAGGTATGAATGAAAAGTTAGGGTTCTTTCATCATAAGTTATTCTAATTGGATATACGTGATTCGAAGAACGATATTGATTCTCGATTGTTTTGTGTAGTGATTGAACGTAATCAATTTTCGGTCAGCTCGACATATTAAGTACCAATTTGAAATGGTTAAGGATTTTGCTTAGAATTTCAGTGAGGCAATGGTGAGTGAAACTTCTTAGTTTTGTAACAGAATTGAGGAAGGCTTGCGATAAGCCAACCTCAATGTTTTCGATCGAAAACTTTGTAATTGCTTTTATGTTATATTGCAATGTTTTATTTAATTTATATTATATAAGTTATGTTTTATGATTATATGATTTTGGAAATGTGAACTTTGAACAAGTTTATGTGAAGAGACTCTATATGAAAGTAACTATGTGAATAAGAGACACTTCGAATAATGATTGAACATAATTATGTGATTAATAGCCCAAAGTATATGTATGAGTTGGCATGCCAAGAGTCGAGGGTTTTATGTTGTCCTTCGAGACAATTATGTGGTCCTTCGGGACAAATATGTGGCACTTCGATGCAAACTTATGTGGCACTTCGGTGCAAACCTATGTGATCCTTTGGGATAAATATGTGGCACTTCAGTGCAAATTACGAGCTGTGGTGACAGCATTAGTGCACAACCTCAATATACTCAAATACCTAGAGTTCTCAGTAGTATACATTGGCATATGAACAAAACTATACAAAGTGAATAATATACATAATTATACCTTTTCGATATGAAAATAATGAGAGTTCTTTATAAAATGTTTTGATAAAAACATATAAGATTTCGTTTACTAAGTTAGCACTCTAGTATTGGCCTCACTAAGTCATCGACTTAGCGTGTGTTTTTCTCACACATAGGTTTGAAGAAAGTGGAAGACTGATTGGTTGAAGATAGCATACCACTTGAAGATCAGATCAGGACAAATTAAATGTAGGTTTTTGATCATTTTGTAAATTGTTGGCATGTATTATACGTTTAATTTAAAATGCTCTGATCGATTTTGTAAACTCATATGTTTTGTATTTATGGAAACCATAAAAGTCTTTATGTAAATATGAATGTGAAATGTTTATCTTATATAAGTTAAGGTTTATACCTTTTGTTTTGATCAAAAATTTTAAATGGTTATTATTTGCTAATTACATATGTTTTGAAAATTCAATGTGACATCTGAGATTCGTATCTGGGTCGAATACGGGTTAAGGGTGTTACACGAATGATATATTATAGGCGTGAATTTTAGGTTAATATTTTTTTTGGTTAAATGAAAGAGCTAAACTAAATCACTTGAACCTTGTCCATCAGCATTGTATTCCACCTGTATAACACTGAAATCTCTGTTGGAGGGTTGGTGAATGTCACATAGCTTGTTCAAAAAAATTTCAAGTTAAGTTTGTTCTATTATCATATTGCACTCCTTACGGTATATGGTTAATTGAGACCTGCCAATCTTTCTTGAGTTCTTCCGTGATTTGTCTTTACAGCGTAAACGACTCGTCACTTTGTTGCCTCATTTGTAGTAGCGTTGACACTTCCAGGCTTGAGGATTACCTTTCTTTCTCCTACTCTCCATGCTTGTTGGAGCCCTACCAGTGCTCCCTATAGTTCGCCTTCAATCACTGTGCATATTCCAATGAATTTGGTGAATCCCACCATCCACGTCCCCGAGTTTTTACGATAATTTCCTTATATGATGCAAGGCCTTCGTTACTCATTTGCGCTCGTTGATCTTTATCCATCCCTATGGAGGCGGCGTCCACTTTGTTGTCTCATCCTTCCATCTGTACTTCGATTGTAGTATCTAGGTTCATAGTTGGTCTTGTCGAGTAACTAAAATAAAACCTATCTTTGTCAAGAAGATTGTATTTTATCAAAAAATTGATCTGATATAGAGATTGACACAAGTCTTAAATATAAATATATATATATATATATATATATATATATACCCCTCATTTAGAAAAATTGTTTGACGTACTATTAATAATATAATTTATAAAATTTACAAGCACATGTTAATTTATTTATTTTTTAATGTTGATCACAAATGTTTTTATTTTAAAGATAATAAAAAAAAATAAGATTTAAGCGTACAATGGAAATGAGATATTTATGAAGTCCTACATTTATTGTATTTATTTAGTAAATATGTAGACACCTCACAATTTTTTTTTAAAGTAATATTTGTTCAAAGATAACTCTCAATTATTTGCTATTGAACGTTCTTACAACCATTTATTATGCTCAAACCAAAGACTACTAGAAACCTCAAAAAATAATAACAACCGTGGTAGTTTGGTTCATGCGACACCTCACAATTTATATATGCTGGAATCTTGAAAATTCAAAAGGGATAGTATTTTCTTTTATATAATGTTTTTTTAATAATGAGGGTGTGACATTAAAGAAACATGAATTTCGAAAACAAAATCGATAGACAAAGAATGATATTTCCTGTAGCTAACAGAAGTACAAAACGTCTTTCTTGATTCAAAGATGATGCTTTGGAATTTCATGATCTATCTATCTCTCTATCTTTTTCCAGTTTTTTCTCTTCTCCATCAATGGCGTGATGTTGGAGTTTTTGATTCACTCAAGCTATCAAGATAAGAAATCTTCCTGCTAATCAGCATGTTCAGCTTCTGCATGTTCTTTTGATCCGGTGCCTCTGCTACTTCTTCGATATCGTTTTGATCTGTGCCCCAAGTAAGTAAATCCGACAGCGTCATCCCGTTCGTGCACTCTGATTCGTCTCTCGGGATTGCAGCATGGTTCTCTTTCGATTCAGACGGACCTCGTGCCAGGAAATCGCATTGGATGACATCTTCGATTCGGGATAGAACCGTGTGTGCCAAGCTTTCCAGTATTCTTGAATAGCTCTCTAGGACGGCCTGTCCTACATCCTGTAATGCCAAACACACACTACCAGTTCAACGCTAAGGAAGATAGGTATGAAAACGATACGAAACTCCAGATGTTCGATTCGGAATGTCGGTCTGTGATCCGAACAAGTTACCTTATTGTACTCGATTTTGCTGATGTCTAGTGAAGATTGAGGCAGTCCTGGGAACCTATGTTTGATAAGGTGTAAAATGATCTCAACTCTTTCCTCAAACAGTTCTCTTTTCTCAATGCTAACACCAGAACCCCACGATTTACTATCCTTTTGGTGCATTTTCCTCTTCCAAATCACAATAGATGCCTCGATCCTGTTCTTGAGGTCTAAAATCTTGTGATCCGATGAGAGGTCCATACTGGCGAGAAATTGATCCGGATCGAAGAATTCATCCGTGATGCTCCTATACATTGAATCACCTAAACTAGCTCTCCCATTCTAACAAACCATCAACCAAAAAAACCGAGGTGAGAATCGACCAGTGTAGACCCGAGGTTCGAGAGTTTCGTTACTTTACCTTGGGGAGGGATTCAATGTAGCTATCAGGGATGTCCATCTCTGACAGTAGTTGAGCATTGATGGTCATTGCTGCTTTAAGAACCTGAGTGACGCATTCCTTTTGAACCTGCAGATTTTTCCTCACCGCTTCCGACAAACTACCGGGAGGAACTTTAACGGTAGGCAGCCACCATTTATCATCTTTTCTCTTTCTTTCGGAGTCCGGGGCATCTTTCGACAGGTAATAGAATTCATTTTGGTCCTTGAAGGCATCCAGACAATCCTGCTCACCATTGTTAACTTCTCCTCAGATTGTCCAATCTCAAATGGAATAACACAACAAATAGAGTAAACCAGCAAAATCTACGTCCTTACAATAAGCCTTCTATCAAGTGTCTTGAGTGCAGGAATGTTCATAAGCAGATCTTTTCGTTGCTTTGTGACCATTATCTGAACAAGTCAAGAAAAAAAAAAAAACAAGATCACCAAGAGAATTAGAGTTTGTAATTACATGTCCCATTTTCGAACGTGAAGAGATACCTCCATGTCGGAACCATCCTTGTTCTTTTGGTAAGAAGGAACTAATTCAACAACATGATCAGTTATAGACAACAGCCAGTCCATTTCTTTTCTCCACCTTGCTTTCCTCTCAGGCGACATCGGCTCCAAGCGTGATTGTTCACCAAAAACAGATGCTGAAACCAATCATCAACACAAATTCCATAACCCCTTCCCCTCCGTGTAAAATACTACGAATGTTCGATATATGTCCGAAAAGAATGTCGAAAATAAGGGAAGTTGGAAAGTACCGGCAAGGTTTGTAATGGCATTTGAGAGTGCTAAAGCTGATGAAACTCCTGTCCCTCCACCTGACATGTCCTCCCCCAGGAGTAACTTAGCAAATTTTTCCTTCATCTGCTCCATATCTGAATCAAAAACCATACTTTTTCATGTACATGAATCAATCATATAAACAAAATTCGAAAGAATCACGTATGTATGTAAACTCGCCGTGTAACAACTGTTGTTCCCTGGCTCGGAAGGCAGCGACCAACTCCTCAAAGGCATCACGGTCACCATCAAGAGCTGCCTCTTCAAGCTTAGTAGTACCGATGCTGAGACTCTTGGCATGTCTGTCTTTGTTGTCCTTAGCAGCCTTGAGATTAGACTTCTTACTGTCTTGTTCTTGTTCAGCAGCCCGAACCATTGTCCAACCTCTGCTAAACAAAAACGAAGAACAATCAAACTGGAAGCTTGGAAGTAAATTTATTGGATAACAAAGGAAGTGGGTTTGTTTGAAATGAACTGTTGGATGGAGGAAGGGGGGGATTATAGTGACTCAGGGTATTCCATTAATGATTGTTCTTTTCTCAGAATTAGATAATTTCTAAATGTTGAAATGGTTTTTGAGGCTGATTTTCAAGGGAAGGGTTAAAGCTCCAGCTGAAAACAAGGGATGATTGAGGATTAATAGCAATATCCTTTCTATTCTTCATGCATAAACTTTCCTGTAATATTAACCTCCCACATGGAAGCTTTTGATTACTTTGTAATGTCCTCAAAGTATTATCCTTATTTTAAATTGGTCCCTAAACTTTTAAATATTCCAATTTTATCCGTAAACTATTACTATCATTCTAAATTAGTCTCAAACTTTTGAATATTTCAATTTCATCCCCAAACTATGACCTTTATTCTAAATTAGTCCCCAAACATTTTGAACATTCTAGTCTCATCCCAAACTATATGTATATACTAATCACATTCCATGTTAATCAAATCGTTAGGCCAAGTTATATAATTATATGTTTGAGAAAAATAAAATTTAGGTTAGACTATGGTTGAAATTGATTACATATTTGGGTGAATTTGGGGATGAAATTGGAATATACAAAAGTTTGTGAATCAATTTAGAAAGAGGGTCATAGTTTGAGGATGAAACTTGAATGTTCAAAAGTTTGAGAACTAATTTAGAATGAGAGTCACCGTTTAAGGATGAAATTGGAATATTCAAAAGTTTAAGAACTAATTTAGAATAAGAGTCATAATTTAAGGATGAAATTGGAATATTCAAAACTTTAAGGACTAATTTAAAATAAGATTATAGTTTGGAGACATATGATTCAATTAACTCATTTAATTTATATTTTTAACTAAATTTAACTATTAGTCTGGTTTTAGTTAAATTAATATGAGGAGACTCACCCACCACAATCAAGTGTGCGACGCGAGTCAATTTAAATTAATTAAGGTGAATCTTGGAACTAGAAGGACAAAAAAATGATTTTAATGAAAAATAATTAAACCATTAAATTTTTATAGAATTAATGTCACAACCTACACTATATGTACTTCATTAATAATATGATATAATATCACATCATGAAAATTCTTTAAAACTTTTTAAAAAAAATTGATACCCATAAAAATATTTATAGAATAACGTACACAAATGATACATTAATTAATCTATTTACTATTATTAATATAATTTTAATATTTCAATCAATCAAAAAAATTAAACTCTAACCATAAAATAAAATTATAATACACAAATTTCAAAATCGAAATCGATACTACGATCATCAAGAGTAAGAAACCATTCCTCCATATATATATATATATATATATCATCATTAAATTATGTTGAAATAAGGTAGTATTTATCTTTAAAAAATTAATCATTTGATATTAAACTAGATACATAATCAAGATTAAATATTTGTGAAAGTCGAAATATTTTTTTTTAAATATAATGACTTGTTAAATATTTAAACTCAAAATTCATAAGACAATGCTTATTTGTCTAATATTTAAACTTATAATGATCTAAATTGTTATTAGACTAAAAAAATCTGAGAACATATGATAATCCATATTTAGTTCGGTCCATGCTTAATTAAATATTTAACAAATTCTTTTATTTTTTAATTTGAATATTTATTTTTACATAAACCAAAATAATAGTTGATCAAAATTTATCAAATATATAATTTTTTCCTTGGGCCCTAAGGGAGCTCCGTCTTGCATTAAACGATCATATACTCCTATACATGTAATATTTAAACTCAAGATCTCAAGAAATAACAACAATCCCTTAACCATTGACGCCGCTTGATTTGCTATAACAATTTAATCAATTAAATGATTGTTTTATAATAATTTTGTAACATTTTAAAGTTTTAATAATCATTTTAAAAATATTATTTTAACGTATATTAGTGTTCATTTGTGAATTTTATCTTAAAATATAAAGCTTAATCGAGTTAGTCATTTCCTCGATGACCATTTTTCGATGAAGAGCCACTATAATCAGAATCGACGGGAGCTGAATCGAGTTCGTCATTTTGTCTGGTTTATTATTGATTTCATCGCCTAGGTGTATTTTTGTAGGTAGTTGTTCGGGCGTAAATGACCGTAGAGTGGAGGCGTGCTCGGAGATAGGCTCAGTCGACAGCAACGATGGCCAAAGCAATAGTCAACATGGATATAGAACTGAAATTAAGGTTTTCGAAGTTTTTGAGATTTTTTAATATTTCTGAAAATTTTGAGTTTCCTTAATAAAATTATTTTTAATTTTTAATTTTTTTTTCAAAATTATTATAATGTAACACATAATATTTAACAAAAATTTTCAACAATGATTATAACTCGATATTTAAAATAATAATATTTGTAATATTAGTTATACACTATTTTTAAAAAAATAATATAGTTTAACTACTTATTTTTATATTAAGTATTAAAAATATATATAATGAAAATGCATGGCTTGTGGCCATTTGGTGGGTTCTTCCTAATCTTCATTCCTCAATTTCTCCACCCGTAACGTTGGTTTGGTTCCATTTCTACTACTCGCATCAGTCCTCTCTCTCTCTCTCTCTCTCTTTCTCTCTCTCACTCTTCAATTCGAATATGGAATCTATTGGAGTCCTAATGGCTTGCCCCATGAACCCTTACCTGGAACAAGAACTCGACAAGCGTTTCACCCTCCACAGGTTCTGGAAGGTCCCTGAGAAATCCACATTTCTTTCTACTCACAGTAACTCAATCCGGGCTGTCGTCGGAAATGCCTTCGCCGGCGCCGATGCCCAGCTGATCGAGGCCTTGCCCAAGCTGGAAATTGTTGCCAGCTTTAGTGTGGGGCTTGATAAGATAGATCTGGCCAAGTGTAAAGAAAAGGGTATCCGAGTTACCAACACCCCTGACGTTTTGACCGAGGATGTGGCGGATTTGGCCATTGGTTTGATCTTGGCGGTGTTGAGGAATCTTTGTGAGTGTGATCGGTATGTGAGGAGTGGCAAATGGAAGAAAGGGAGCTATATGTTGACTACTAAGGTTCGTCCACTTTCTTTGCCATAATTGAGCAGTTTTGGTTTATTTGATAATACGTAGTTCCTTGAATTTACTTCTGTTAGTTACTTTTTTGCGTATTTGATGATATTAGTCTTTCTGGGCTGTTATTGGATTTTGCTGAATTTGTTCTTTGCATAACTATTTATCACGTGCCAGCGAATTTGTGTTTCTGATTAGTGAGTTGCTATATTTAAGGGTTCTCTTTTTCTTCATCGAAGATGGATGATCTTGCAATATAGTCTTCTGTCCTGAAAGATTCTGGGGAGAAAAAAAATCGCTTATATTCCTTGTATTCATCTTTCAACATATGCATTTAGTTTAAGATGCAAGTTTTACGCATGTAAATTTCATGGTTAGCTGTTCCTTTAGCCTCCCAAGAATTCGTTTTGTGGTAATGTGGTTTGCTGGGGGCTGCATTAATTGATTTGGTGTTATTCCGGTCTCAGAAACAAGCAAAAGAGTTCGCCACCTTTATGCCATATTATTACACTGTCATTGTTGTTGATTTCACCTCTTGAAATTTCTTCTCTCTTTGGATTTCAGCATGATCATTATGTTGTAGAAAATTCTTAATGGTAAAGGGTCTTTATATGGTGAACTAATAGGTAAATGTTTGGCAAGCCCAAGAAACCATAATGAAGTCTTTAGTGGCAGGTCGAAATGCTTTACCAGAGTAAATTTATTTGGGTTGGGGGGGGGGGGGGGGGGGGGAGGGGTTGAGCCATGCTATTAAAACTGATATATGTCTTTCACTTAATAAGCAAATTCAGCTGTTGATAGAAAGCACTAAACAGACTGAAGTTTTATGAGTATGAAGCTGGTCCGTTTAAACAATTCTAGATTTCAAAGGTATAGAGCAGCGCCCATAGTCCTTAAGGATGATCTTTGGGTATTTTACCCTGGTGTTGTTTTTTCTTTTATTTTACTTTTGTTAATTAATGATGAGTCTCAGTCAAGGATGGGTTAACTTTAAGTCCAATTGATTAAGCAAAGAAATCTGATATTCAGGCTGTTAAAATCAACATTTTTAGATATTTAACAGCTCGAATGGGTCCCGAGTAGTACCATAAGGCATGGAGCTAAAATAGTAGCTCTACGTGCTCTACCATACATGGACATATAGGTAGATACATGTTTGCATGATGCAATTATGGATGTCTATGTGCAACTATATTTTCTTCGAGTATGATATGTAATGCATATAGCAATCAATTCAGAAGGATGCATGGTAGTTATGAGGTCCCTTGTGTGGATAATGGAGGTTCAAACAATTATAGGTACAGGTACAAAGGAGTTATAAACTGCTTTGGAGTAATGGTACAACCTAATTCAGGACAACAGTTTCTTTTACTAATGGTTTCAGCATTGTGAATTAACTGAAAATGGGTTACTGATTAGCTATTAGTTGGTAACTTGGTAATTGTGTCCTGTTTATTTTCTATAAATTAGTATTCTTCCTTATTCGACTTATTTTAAATACTGCTGAGAAAGCAAGGCCATTAAGCTGTAGTTAGAGTCTTGTGAATGGGGCCCTTTGACTAGTACTAAAAATTAGTCGATTAATTAGAATGCTCAAGTATACGCTGCTCCAGAGAGAAGGGTGTGGCGGTGCATGCATATCGTATTGTTGTTCTTTACTCAACTTTGAGAAGAGTTTCCTTCTTGAGTTGCAAAAGAAGAGAAATTTCTTTTGCTAAGATCCCGTTCTCTCCCCTTACAAGATTAGTAATAAGGAGGCTAGCTTTTGCTCTTTTAGACTCAGAAAAGCGGTTTTCTATTCCACATGGAATCCATTTGTTTGGAAAAACATGAAGCATCTATGTCCAGCATGATAGTGACTTTTGACTTTATGACAACAATTATAACATTTTGCAAGGGTTTATTAGATGCTTTCATCCATTTGGAATAAAAAAAACATGAAGATTGAATTGAATCTGTGTTACCTTTATATTCTTTTCATGCATTTGCTATGAGAAACATTAAAGATTGAATTGAATCCGTGTTAACTTGTTTCTTGTACATATGTTCCATCAGACTTGGAGGATACAAGAGTCGGGAGTCTTTTCTTCCCCTCTCTTGCTTATGTTTTTGTGCCCATTTAATTGTACTATCTCCCATCTTTCAGTTCACTGGAAAAAGAGTCGGCATTATTGGTCTGGGCAGGATCGGCATGGCAATTGCGAAGAGGGCTGAAGCATTTAGCTGCCCTATTAGTTACCATTCTAGAACAGAAAAACCCGAAACCAAATACAAATATTATCCAAGTGTTGTTGAACTGGCTGCCAATTGTGATATCTTGGTTATTGCTTGTTCACTGACTGAAGAAACACGACACATAGTTAACAGGAAGGTGATCGATGCTTTGGGTGCAGAGGGTGTGCTCATCAATATTGGGAGAGGCCCTCATGTCGATGAACCTGAGCTGGTTTCCGCGTTGGTTGAGCGCCGGATAGGAGGTGCTGGACTTGATGTATTTGAACATGAACCTGAAGTACCTGAAGAGCTTTTCGGGCTCGACAATGTGGTGCTCTTACCACATGTGGGAAGCGGCACGGTAGAAACCCGTAAAGACATGGCTGATCTTGTGCTTGGTAACTTGGAGGCACACTTTCTGAAGAAACCATTATTGACTCCTGTGATTTAGTGGTGATTGGGAGCTTCATATTGCTGCTCTCCCGTTTATATTTTTCATGATCTTTAGGACATTGTATGCTGCAAATAAATATGCACCACTGTTAAAACCAGAAAGAATTCAGTCATTCATGTCCCCTGAAGTATCTTTTCTCACAATATAATTTTTTTTTCAAAGTATTCATATTTAAAAGTATTTAGATGAGCGTAAAGCGTCTCATTCGACAGAGACAAAGAGTTTTATAAAGATTATTGGGTTTTGTTGATGTTGGACATCATTCTCAAAGGAATGTTTCGTTTTTTTTCGTATCTTTGGGTTTAATGTTTTTATTTTGTGTATTAGCTTTTTTTGTTACTATTGTCTCATTTTTCTCTATATGTTTGAACGCATTGTAATTCTAACTTATTCTATTATTTTTATTAAGAAAAATTCTACAACACTCGTCGAGCGTGGATGAGCATTAACGATGAACACTATTAAATTAATTTATAAAACGTTAAATTATAAAGTACTTAACTTATAATTATTATAAATTAGTTAAAAATTTAAATATAATTTAATTAAAATAAAATATTTATAAAACATTCGTTTTTAGGGTAAACTATACCATTGACCACCTAACTATTTATCCCTTTTACTTTAACAACCGATTTGTCCAATTTTGTCAATCTAGTCACCTAACTATTTAAATCTTGTCAATTATGTAACAACCCGAATATTTACTGTAGACACACTATTTTTTTTATAAACATATATATATATATATATATATATATATATATACGCCACATATATATTACATATATATATATAAATTATTTTCGTTTTATTAAACCAACATTTGCATTTGTTTTCATGTCAGGCCCAAATTACAAGTGGCCCAACAATGGCCCAACAGGCGAACCCGTCCAAGTTAGTTAGGGTTTTTCCTAACCCTAAATCTCTACTGCCCATCCGTCAGGTGCCTCGACCATTGGATCCAGATATGATCCAACGGCCAATAATATGAGCCAGATAGGGTTATGCTTTTTTCCTTAGAGCGCCGCATATCCTGGACAAGTCAGAACCTCGCACGGCTCTCGGAGAATCCTCGTCTCGGTGGCAACGTGCTCCGGGTTTCTCGGCGTGTGGGTTTCATGGAGATAACAAACCAACAAATAGAGTTAGAATAGGACTCTGTAACCACATCTAAAAATAGGATTTTTACTCCTATAAATATCTGTAAGCAAATCCATTTGAAAAAAAAAGGGAGGATACGAAATAAAGGCAGCAAATTTCAAGCAAACCTCAGAACAATCCAGTTTTTTTTCTTACGGAAACTCGAAGGTAACAAAGGTGAAAAACCTTACCTTTCTTTTGTTGTTAGGCTTGCATGTTGGTGTGGCTTTTGTTTTCTCACTGTGTTGGTTCGAATATACAAAAAAATTGTGGCCGATGACCAAGGGCGTGTTCGAGGTCTACTGTTGTAGATCTAGCCCCGAGGCCAATTTGTTTTAAGAAAGCCGTTTTGATATTCGGAAGGAAAGGGGGAAAGAGCGTTTTAAAAAGCAAAATTTTTTGAATGGGCCGCCGATGAACGGCGGCGACGGACGATTTCTGGGTTCATCAAGAACCCAGACGATGGCTGTTCATCAAGCCACATGAACAAACCAGAGGAAAGCGAGAGAAGAAGGAGAGGCGTCTGATGAAGAGAAGAGAAATGAAAGCTTTAAAAAAAAAATTTTGAGTTAAATAATATCCATACACACGTCGGAATCTGTGTGTTTTGCCTTAAAATAGGGTAAACTTCCCCTTTAGTCCCTCCTCGATTTCAAAGAGCATTTAAACCCCTAATTTCCTTCTAATTCGACCACTCAATTCGTTTTACTTTCAATTTGGTCCCTGTTAAATTCAAGTCGTATTTTTTAAATTTTTTTTATATATTACGTTTCATTATATATATATATATATTATTATTGTTATTATTATTATTATATGTATATATATATATATATTTACTTATTTCTTTTTATACTCTTTTACCATTTTTATTCTTATTATTATTACTCTTTATATTATCCTTATTATTTCTATTATTACTATTTTTTTATTTATGTAACTATATATATATATATACGTATTTTCTATATATGTCATCTATATACTTAGTGTTAATACACATATATTATTTTAATTAACTTTTTGGTCATTTCTTTATCTATCTACTACATCTTATAATTTTATACGTTATATATGTATTTTTTTTATTATTTACCAATCTAACTCATTTTATCTTATAATTATATTTCTATTAACATTTTTTTTGCTTGAAATTTGTATTTATGTATGTATATACATATATATATTCATTTTACCCATTATTGATATTTTTCCTTTTTTATACTTTAATATATATATATTTCTCGTTTCATACATTAATTATTTATTCCATTTTTATTTTATTTATTTCCCCTTTTACTTTTTACTATTATTATTATTTATTTATTTATGCTATTATATTATATTAGTATTATATACGTATATGTATTACTCATTTTTTTTTTACTTTTATTGTTTTATATTTTATTTTATTATGTGTATTTTCTGTTTTTATCCATTTATATTTTATTATATTTTCTTCTTTTTCTTTATTTGTATTTTCGCTGTTTTTTCGTTGCATATTTTATTTTATGTTTAGTCATATTTCATTCTTTCTTTTTTTGTATACATTTTTTATATTATTTCGTTTGTTCGCCTATTTTTATTTATTACTTTCATTACCTAACCTTTCCTTGGCTTTTTGAGAGAACTTCAAACAATCAGGTAAGCAATTTGAATCAATATTTACCTTTAATTTAACTTTCAATTTTCTTAATTAAAAGACAACTGGAAATTACACAGTACCGAAAGGGCAGTTCAAGGGTGCTAGCCCTTCCTTGACTGTAACCGACTCCTGAATCCGACACATCTCTGGTAAGAAGCAGATCAGGTAAGAAATAGGGTATCCGATCAACCCATTTATTTTTAAATAAATGATCGGTGGCGACTCCAATCCACATTTTTCAAGTCGAAGCCCAATTCCGGGGCCCAACCGAAAGATATCGTGGCAAGCGTGACCACGGAGGCTCCATACATCGAAGTAGACGAGGAAGCGGTAGAATGTTCGTTCCGCTCCTTGGAGTTTGTGAATGCCACATTCGTGGCAGAAGGAAAAAGAATCCCAAGACCTCGACTCTCCAAATGCACAAGGATGGAGATCAAGCAACCCTAGGCCGAGGCGCAAGAACTGGGAGAGGTTTTGGGAACATTGCAAGGAATGATCAACCCTGTCCGTCCATCCCAAAATTAGACCAATTTGGGCTCGGTTTTCAGCCCGGTTATCATGAAGAGAAAGGAAATCCAAAAGAACCGGGAGAAGGATAGCCAGGTTGACTGGAACGAACTCCAATGGAAGCCTATGACATTCCCGCCGCTCTTCAGAACATTCAAGTCAGGTGGTTATGTGTTTGGACCACCACATCCGAGTTAGAAACGGCTCTGGAAGATCTGAACGTTAATGCCGTGACCACAGAAGATGTGACAACAGAGATAATCCGGATATACCTTCTGCCACATGGGTTCATGCCTAGCAGTTGGTCGGTGGAAGAACTACCTGGTTACAAGAATCTTTCAGAGTAATATTCGAACTGTCCCTATTTGCCTATACCGGGCAATAGGCGATCTTTTGTAAGGGTGAATAATATTTGTTTAAGTTTAATAAAGGATGCATTTTCTGTTTCATGGCAAACAAATTTTTTCTTTTATTCATTATCTATCTCCTTCATTCTAGTACTTCATTTCCAGTTACTCTCAAAGTAGTTCTTGACCATTCGTGTGGGATATTATCCTCTCACACATACACATCTCCTCCTTTCAGGTTCCCAGATAACGAATGTGGGTACTAATGATCCTGATCCGGAGGTGGATTTGAATCAACCATTGTCTTGGGGAATTGAAGAATGCGATAATAAAGAGGAGTACAACTTGCCTACCGAATTTTGAGAATGATAGAAAGAGAAGAAAGCAAATACTGCCACATGAGGAGGCGATCGAAATCTTAATTGGGCACTGAGGAAGATCGAAAAGAGGTTAAAATCGGCAATTCTTTCGACTGAAGCAAGAAAAAACCTGATAGCCTTACTTCAGGAGTACGAAGATGTTGCTTGGTCGTATCAAGACATGCCGGGACTAGACACAGATATGGTAGTTCACAAACTGCCAATCAAACCAGAATTCAAACCAGTGCAGCAAAAACTGAGAAGAATGCGACCAGAAATGCTCTTAAGACAAGGAAGAAGTCAAGAAGCAATTTGATGCCGGTTTTCTCCAAGTGGCCAAATACCCTGAGTGGGTGGCCAACATAGTGTCTGTGCCGAAAAAGGACGGGAAAGTACGCATGTGTGCGATTACCGGGACCTAATAAGGCCAGTCCCAAGGACAACTTTCCCTGCCAACATAGACACTTGGTGGACAATACAGCCGGAAACGCCTACTTTTCATTCATGGATGGATTTTCGGGGTACAATCAGATCAAGATGCATCCCGAAGACATGGAGAAGACCACTTTCGTCACAATGGGGAACTTTCTATTACAAAGTGATGCCTTTCGGATTAAAGAATGCTGGGGCAACATATCAGAGAGCTATGGTGACCCTGTTCCATGACATGATGCAAAGAAATCGAGGTTTATGTCGACGACATGATTGTCAAGGCACAAACCGAGAATGAACATGTCAAGAATCTGAGGAAGCTCTTCCAGAGATTGAGAAAGTTCCAACTGAGACTAAACCCTAGCAAGTGTACTTCGGGGTAACATCTGGAAAACTATTAGGTTTTATAGTCAGCAGGAGAGGCATACATCGATCCTGATAAGGTTAAGGCCATCCAGAATCTACCTCCACCACGAACCCAAAAAGAAGTTCGAGGTTTTATGGGCAGACTAAACTACATAGCTCGTTCATATCTCAATTAACCGACAAATGTGACCCCATCTTTCGCCTCCTCCGAAAGAATAGCCTGGAGCATGGATAAAAACTGTCAGATTGCATTTGAGAAGGTAGAAGAGTATTTGTCTCACACTCCTGTCCTGATGTC